GGGGAAGCGTTACGTTTCAGGTCCGGGCCCACTCGCTCCCCCTAGTGCTGAGCTTTCGGTACTTGAAGGGACGGGAGCTGGGTCAGCGGTACGCGCAGTCCGTCTGTAAGGAGATAAATTTTATAGTGTGTTTATTTGGGGTGGGTGAGGGGCGGAGGTGTGTTGTTCCTTTACTTGCAACCAGCATCTTCGGGGTGTTTTCCCCGTGGCTGCATTTTTAGTGGAGGTAGTTTTGCGGGGGAGGCTCAGTTGCTTGAAGGAGGCTGCAGGCCCCGTAGAGGTGCAGCTGGTGCTTGGCTGGGAGACTTGAGGTGTTAGGGAAGGCAGACGTGGAGCCATCGGGAGAGTTCTAGATCATTGGTTTCGGTGGCCCGACCAGTGCTAACGAGCACCTATATGATCTGACTACGGAAACAGATTCTAGCTTAGGACACGGCAGGTGTCTTTAAACTCTGTGTGTGTGGGGTGGGGTGGTGCCTTCTTCAGCTCTCTGAAGGTTAGCTCCTGTGCTGGTGGCTAGCGGGTGAGCTGCGAGTATGACAGCAGATCCTTGTCTGCACAAGCATGTTTGTCTTAAATGTTATTGCCCCCGTGACTAGGGTCAGATGCAGCAAATAGTGCCTCAGAGCAGGATCTGAGGGGCAGAGATGGAGATTTCCCCCCAAAGGATGCTCATTATGAAGGTTATGCTGCAGATCCATAAATCTGTTGTATGTTACTGAAAGTAATTTTCCTGAGTTCTCCCTTTTTAGGTAACCAGTCAATCAGTCCTTTACGTAGTCTGTTGAAAGATTAACTGAATTCAAAACCAGTGGATTTTGGTGAAATTTAATTTGTTTTTAAAGACTTTCCTTTCTTCCTGTCCCTTCTACTTCTGTCTTACTTTTAAAAGAAACTACCCAATGTGGGTATAACTGAAAAATTTTACTATTTTTAAAACGCTGTTAATCTTTTATTTCAGGGTCTTCGCCAAATTTCCCAGAGGACCATAAGCACTGCTTCACGCAGGCAGTTTGAAAATAGAGTTCCTGAGAAGCAGAAGTTTTTTCAGGTATTGAGTGAGCACTGATAGTAGAATAACGTTAGTAGAATAACCAGGTTTTAGTAGATCATAATTGCATACATTCTCTTTCTAAAGAACTGGTGAAAGTCCTATTTGTCTCTGAGGTGAGCTCTTGAAATCAGTTGTATGACTACAGTGTTTGAAATCAGCTGTTATTTTCTACAGAGACTATTTGTACATGCATACTTGACTTGCTGACTCTTTTAGGGTTTTTTACCCTGTGAAATAATTTGTACCTAAGTTTCCTATGAGTAGTAGGTACTGTACAAAGATAAAGACAAAGTACTCTGAGATGAGATGGGGGAATATGTCCTAAGAACAAATAATAGAGAAAAACAGCAAGTGAGAGAAGTACAGTGAACAGTTAAACCTGCAATCTTACAGCTATATCCATAGCTCACAGATGAGCCCCGCAATTCTTACTGAGGATGTGGTATTATTGTACTTCTCACTTATGAAAATAGTATCTTAAGGGATTAGATTCACTGCTAGAAAATTATTGAATCTTTAAAAATCATTTCTGAATTACTCTCTTCCTGACTGATAGGGCCACCTTGTAAGAACTAGCGGTTCTTCAAATGCCAAAGCAGTGGATACTCAAGAGCATACTCCCAACTGTGCGTCATATCCTGGAGCAGTAGCTTCGTACTGAGGATAGAGTAGACTGGGCTTTGGCGATGTGAAAGGGAAAAAGTATGTTAGAAGCCCCAGTTTAATAGTTTTTGTGTCTTGTTGCTTTCCTTTCTCCTGAAAGAGAAAGCCAGTCTTGTTGGGACACTGCCTAAGGAGCACAGCGTTCATTGTGAGCCAAGGGGAAGTGAGATGTTGGTGATGGGTGAGGTCAGAGGTTCTGTTTCTGCTGGCGGAGATCTCTAGGCGTATCTCTTCGTCCTCCCATTCCATTCTTGCGGGGCAGCAAGTTAAGCTGGGCTGGGTTGCGGGTCACCAGCGCTGGAGACCAGCTTGAATTTCAGAGCAGCATGAACTTACTGACAGGGGTAAAGATCACGTGGATCTGGTGTGTAGGAGTTTTACTTCAGGTGAAGCAAAACAATTTCCTGTGTGACACCAGGTGACAGTAGAGGCTCCTCCTCTTGTGTTCCCTATAGCGGGGATTAACTGTGCTGGAGACAGATGGGAAGTTTCTAGGGATGGTAGTCATGCCCTGTGCACCCGAGGGGGCTGGCAACTGGTGTCAGAAGTGTGTAGGCATCTGCCAGTCACTGCTTTAGAAATGAACATGCACATCATTCACCATACTTCGCTAGCGAGTGATCACCTGATACCAGAGTGAAAGCTTGAAAGACAAAAGCAGAATCTAAATGAGGTTCAGTGGCTTTTGGGAGTTGGGAAGGTAATTTGGGGAAGCAATTCTTGTTCTGGGTAATTCTAGTTATATTAACACAATATTGCAAGAACTGTATTTAAATAGTTTCTTTTTGTCACTTGTTTCCATTAGGAGGATAATGGCATCCCAGTGCATCTTAAAGGTGGTGTAATGGATTCTCTGTTGTATAAAGTCACCATGGGTCTTTCAGTTTTTGGTAAGGCTAATACTAAGATATTTATGCTTTGGTACAATTTCCAATGTGCTAATACTAAAATACTTTTTCTTTGGTACAGCCTCCAACATGACTGATGTTTCCTTTGTAAATGAGTTACATGGTTCCTTCAGTCTGTTCTTTAGAACATGCAAAATGCGATTAAAGAGAGGAAAAAATTCATTTGGACATACTATATATTTATTTGTGCTTTCTCAAGTTTAGCTCTTCAGATGGCTTTTTTTCCCCTGACTAGTAGTACTATGGGCTGAATATGCCTTCAGAATTCATGTATGATGTGAGAGAAAGCTAGAACTACTCATAAAGCTTATTCTGAGAACGAGTGAGATGTAGTTAATGGAGCATACATACACCAGTTTTCTCGCTAGGCTGACTCTTTTTAGTGCTAGGTGATACTTGATGTGCTGAGGTTTCACATGCTGTGAAAACTAGTAGAATATATCCAAGCTTTAAGATACTGTATATATTTAACCTTTATGTTGCTTGTTACATAGTTTTGTTATAGCCTCTAACTTAAATATGTTGATCTAATGGATTTTCAGTTCAGTTACTTTAAGAATGAGTAACCATTACTTTATGATCATCTATGTAGGTTCCACAAACATGCCTCTCCCCTGTTTTTTTTTTATTTTTATGCAGTCTATGGAGAGGATTTTTTTTTTCTCTAAAATATGAATTGCTGAAAAAAAAAATCATTGAGAAGTGGCTACGGAAATGTGTTGTGTCTGAATTGCAGCTGCTTATTGTCAGTATTCTGGAACAAACTGGGAAAGGAAAGTTGACTTGAAAGGAAATCTGTTTCCATGCTGAAAATATCTTTTCTGTCTCTTAATTCAGGAACAGCCTATGTTATTTACGAGCTGCTTCTTGCTTCAACGCCCAAGAAGCAGAAATGATTCCAGTTCAGAATGCCTCAGTGACTAGCATCTCTTCGTCCAATTCCATGTGACTATGATGGCAGTTTACACTTATAAGCAGCTGGCTTAATGCTTGGAATCATAATTTAATTGTAACATGTTAACTGCAATCAATAAAGCAGTTTTTACGTTGTGTTGTGGTGGTGTGGGCTGTATCATGTGTTCTACATTAGAGTGCTTTTTACTTCCAGTAAATGTACATTGAGTTGATCAATATGCAGATCTTTGAATTGTCAGCCTCTTTTCTTTGTATGTGGTTTATGTTAATACCTCAAAATTGAGTTAAATGCCCATAATCCCTATGAGAAAGCGATGTCTTGTCTTTATTATAGGAATTTCATCTTGCTTTAGTGGTGCAAATGGATCTTATAATAAATTGTTAGGATTGGATTAAACCTGTGTGGAAATGAATATTGAGGACTTGGTGATTATGCTGTAGCTTTGCTGTCAACTGCTGGAAGTTGGCTGTAATACATCTAGAAATAGAGGAATCTGATTCCTGATCACCATCCGAAGGTGACAGTTTTTACTACGTAGAGGTGATAACACTGTCCTCTGCAGCTTCAGGGGCTTCAAATTAGTCTCAGTTGAACTTCGCACCTTCATCTAATAGATATCTTTTTTTTTTTAGTGGCTTTTCTCTGCTACAGCTTAATGGAACATCATATGTCCTGAAAAGAATGAAGATTTCTAAGGTCAGTGGGTCCAGTCTTCTGCTTAGAGCAGTGCCACTTCAGAGCTACACCGGGCTGCCCAGGGCCTTGGACAGTCACATGGGGAGTCTCTCCAAGGACGGAGATTCGACAGCCTCTGTGCAGCCTGCTCCAGGGTTTCACTGTCCTGTCTCTGAGGAGTGTCTTTCCTTCTCTGGGATACAGCAATACACATTTGTAACAGATGGTTGTTAGCGTTCCTGTAACACAGCACTGAAGGAAGCCACAATTGCACTTGACTACTTCTGCCTAGATGACTACGAATTTTACAGACTTACAGGGGAAAGCGAGTATTTTTCAATGTCTTATGTTAAGACCTCTCACAGAAAATGGGGCAAAAGCTGTAGGCATGGCTGAGCTTTAAGTTGCTGCTACTCCTTTGTGTGATGGTGTTGGTAGCTGCTGCGCCTAAAGCTCAGTCAGCACTATGGTTTCTGGGAGAGCTGTCGGCTCTGCTCCGATGTTGCTTCTACTGGGTCAATCCATACTTTCTCGCAGCAATTTGAACTCTCTGCCTTAAGCTAGGTTGTGTGCCGTAGCAATAACATGGTTGAGGAGTGCTAACCTGCTCTGTTTTAGCAGCAGAACTGTATGACAGCTCTCTGCGTACATAGAGGCACAACAAATGGCTGATAAAGCTCATGGTTTGATCATGATCCTTTCTGAAGTCCTCCTCTTTCAGTGGCTGAGGTTTTTTTCAGCTTGCTATGACACTGACAGCCACAAATGCAACTGGAGATCTGTTGTTGTCTTTGGGGGGAGAAAAATTTGATTGTGGTTTAAAATTGGGCAGGGATACCCAGTAATAACTATAAGCTGCTATCGTGTATTTAGGAACAAGCCTTATACCCACAGTGGCTAGTGCTGTCAGTGAAAATGCTTGGTCCATGAAAACTGCTTCTAGGAAGCATCTGTAAGTTGGTGAGTATGAGAATCACTTGTAAGCTACCCTGATGCCTCGTACTAGCTTGACTGTTGCAATTCCTGGGGAAGAACATGTGTGGGAACCAGTGGTAGCTGTGCATCTCCAGTTAGGTTTTATGTTCCTAGCACAACTTGTGCCTTTGTAGCCTTCCCGTCAAGTTGCTACTTGTGGGTTGTTATGCTGAAAGTCTGGTGTTGACTCTAACAGAGCTAAAAAAAAAAATTTCCATCAAAATAATCCTTTTGTTTCTCTCTTCAAGGAAACAATGGGTTTTCCAAAATGTGAAAATGAGCACAAAAATCTAGCTTCCTGCTACAGTACTATTTTAAGCCTCTTGTGGATTAAGTTTGTTTAGAATTTTTCATTGCTATCCTGGAGGACCAGAGTATGCTTGTTAGACTTGAGGCAAATGGGAAAAGAAGGGCCAGTGTGCTCAGCACTCTCGAGTAGAACCAAAGATCTTAAATAAGGGGAGGGGGGGGGAGTACCCCTCAATGGGAGTCTCTCTGCATAGGGGGGTTTGGCCAACTGCATGAGTAGAACTGCCTGGATGGATGCCTCAGAGGAAGGTTTGGGAAGTGGGGTACAGCTTATCTTCAGATGAACGTTGATGCCTACAAGGACGAGAAACCTCACAGCACAGTGACCATGTGAAGGAGTCAGTCTGCTCTCTGCGACGCTGGTAAGGCTTCTGCTGTGACCATGTGCCCAGGGTTGCCACCAAGGTGTAGACCAAATGGTGGGCATCTGGAAGGCAGCATAAGGAAAGATCAAAATCTTTAAAAAGCCCACATCATTTCCCACCCACAGGAATTATGAAGAATATTGAAAGAAGGAGAATTGTTTAAACAGTCTAAATTATAAAAATCCTGTCATGAGCTAGGCAGTAAATGTGCGTTTCTGTGTGCAACCGAAGCGGAACACTCAGCCGTTTTTGTTCTCGCAATCAGCTGCATCTCGGAGCCTGCTGTTGCAGGAAGGGCGGCAGCTTGTGAGCTGTGCTGCAAGCAGCAGCCCTGGTGGGAGGACGTGTGGGCTAAATGCAAGCTAGGAAAAAGATCTTCGTACTACAAAGCCATCAGTATTTATACACAGAGCCTTGAAATGTAATTTAAATGAATAACAAATGACAAAAAAATTGTACTGGTAGAGGTGGGTCTGGTAACCCCAAAATGTCCTCTTTAGGACAAGAGGAAACAGTCTCAAGTTGTGCCAGGGGAGGTTCAGGTTGGACATTAGGAAGAATTTCTTCACTGTTAGAGTCGTTAGGCATTGGAATGGGCTCCCCAGGCAGGTGGTCGAGTCACCACCCCTGGAGGTGTTCAAAAAACGTTTAGGTGTGGCGCTTCAAGGCACGGTTTAGAGGGCATGGTGGTGGTGGCTAGAAGGTTGGACTTGAAAACAAAATAAGCAACATCTATTACTCCTTGCTAATGTGAAAAAAATATAAATTAAAAAAAATGGTGTGCTTTTCTTGTCTGATTCTATTACTGGAGTGCTTAATTACCATCCTTAAATCAGTATTTTCTGGAGTTAGGTGTTATACTGATGTACAATATCGCTACCTTCCTGCAGTCCTACTTTTGATTTGTGTTTAGGCAATACATGTTATCTTTCCTCAAAAGAGATTTCATGTAAACTTTATTTTCTATGTCAGGTTCATGCAAAATTTATTTTTCAGTTACTGTTAGAAATGGTAGCTATGATTTTCTATATTTTGCTTTAAAGAATGGGAAAGCCTCCTGGAGCTGAGGACGTGGGAACGTTGTCCTGGCTTCCATGGAGCTGAATTGTTCTAAATGTCAGCCCAAAAATATGAGGGACATTTTCTGCTATATAGGCAATGAGTACTCCATCTCTTCCAGTTCCCTTGCCGCTGTATTGTCATTATTTAAGCTTTTAAACTTACATGGTTTTAAGGTTAACAAAGCTTAATAGTGTGCCGGCTTTAGCAGAATGGAAAAAAAAAAATTGTTCATGCCACTGTAAAAGAAATGACTGTTCAATCAGATGAAACAGATTACAATTAAATCCTCAGAATTGCAGTTCTAGGTTACACAATGCTTTCTGAGACTCCAGATGTGCAGACCATGTTTTACTTTCTGCTTTGGGAAGGTAGCTCAGAACTATCTGCTCTTAGAACTCTGCCCTGGGCTACACTTTCTTGGCTGCTGAATATATGCATAGATCCAATTAGCCTGACACACACACAAATTTCCCCAGTAAAAGTCTGAGGACTAATAATACACACTATCATAGCATTGGCTGCCTAGAAGACATGATGAAAAAAGTTAAGAAACTCTCAGAAGTAAAAAGAAAATGCCAGAGGGATCTCTATGTGTATGATCTTATCTGTACGTACTTTATTTTTACAGATCCCGGAGTAAAAATACGACTTTTCTAATGTTGCTCACCTTGGCTGTCACTGCTCTGACCTATGAGAAAGCATGATTAATTTTTTTTGGCGTCTTTCGTATTAAGCTGCCCTTCCTTACTCTCCGTTCTTTCCCAATTTTGTTACATGTCAAAGAGCTGGAGGTTGACCTTCATAGCTGCTGGGGTGAATCAGACTTTCAAAGGCGAAATCAATCTGATCAACCTGACTTGACCCTAAATAAGGTATTTAGGGGATGAGTAACTCAGAACCGACGAATCTTTTCATGTGCATGCTTGTGCAATTATTTTTTTAAAGAAGTTCCTTTTAATAATAACACCACCTTCTCTAGTCTGACTTGCCTGAGCCATTCCACTTATTTTTTCAGTACTCAGTCAATTCTGCTGTAAAAATAATGGCTTGTCCAGAAACACAATCTGAGGAGAATCTCTTGGCTGTACTGTACTTTTTCTGAACATGAGTATTCAAGTCTTCAGACCCGGTGGGCAGTGCATACAGTCTGGGATAGATGTTTTGGTCCTGTCTTAGTATTTCTGAAGAGCTGATAGTCACCGATTTTCTATTAGACTAACTGATCACAGGCTTCCCTGAAACACATGTAAAGCTAAAGCACACTTGTATCTGTTTTCTCAAAAAGGTATGTCTTCACAAAAAAAAAAAAAAGGTAGTTGGCTGGGATTCCTGTTTATAAGTGTTGTGACAAGCCAAAATCACTCTCAGGGGCTGGGGAGGTACCAAGAGAAGGGTGTTATCCCACTGAGTCCCTGCTCAGGCACTCCTGGTTTTGGCTCCTCGGGAATACCAGTATCTGTACGCAGTTCACTCCGCTCACAAAATATTCACTCCTGTTGCATATAGCCTGCTGTGTCCCGGAGAAAACTGCCAAAGGGGGATGAATTTGTCCTTTGCTAATGGGTTTTTTTTCTTTGAGTTCCTAATCCACCAA